CCATTTGAAGTGACTTTCCTCTTCAAATTTACCCATCATTTGTACTTGATGTTCTCCGTAATATAATTGTTAAACTGCTTCAATTGTAATGCTCAATGGAAGGTATTGTGCAATTATTAAATAACTGATAAATAATTAATATTTCGTCAAAGAGTGATGTAATAATTATCAGATTACTAATAAATCGATTGATTATTAAATAATGACATATTGTCAGAATTGAGAATCACAATCGATGAAATCCTACTATTATAAATCATATAGTATACGCTGAAGGTAAATAGAAAACTGTGGACAGGAGAAAAGCAAGCTCGAAACTTCAATTTTACGTAGTTTTTAGTTTAATACTCTAGATCCGTATATTCTTTTTTAATAGTAGATGGTCAAAATATTGAATGAAGTTAATCATGCAATTGATTCTATATGAAAAACATCTAAAATCTTTGTTTTCTTTGTAACCATCGGTATTTTAAAATGAAACATTGAATGAAATCTAGAAAAGAGCTAAATAGAGATGCGTTCACGTACATTAAAAATAATTTCACATCATTCTGTCATGGCTAACTAGAAATGAAGTTGCAGTATCAAGGTTGAGTGCGACAAGTACTTGACAGGAATACACTACCAAATGCATCAAAATGAAGACTGAAAGATAGGAATGAAGAAAACAGTTTACAAATTTGTTTTCACCAAATATATGATCCGAATAACAAATCTTCTTGAATTCGAAATTTCGAAATCGATTCAAATGTTATCAAGGCATGACAAAGGCAACAATTAAGGTCATAAAGTGTACTAGAATATGGCATGTACTCATTACATTTTAGTGGCAAGTTTTGAGTTCTGATTGATGGATTCAAACAGTAGGTGAAGATACATGTCGGTTTAATTTAAAATTAGTGTGGCATTCTTTTTACACTGAAGACAAGGCTGTTTTTTGTCGGCTTATTCCAGGTAAGAAGTAGTCTGAACGAATAGCTTTAATGGCGTTCCTTAGTATCACATGTAATATGTTGCTATTTCCTTTTATTTTGATAAGATTTTGATTTTGACATCAACAGAAGTCATTAGACAGACAGAGATATGGATGTGAGTATTGAGAAAGAGGAGATCCACACCTAATTCTAAAATCGGATCCGTCGAAATATCCCAAACAATGCGATAACTTTCAAGTTTTAAGCTTCCATCGTCTATATGAGACATCTCAGTGCCTTCCTCATATCCTTAAAATTAAAAAAGAAACATTAGAAAAACTCACGTTCTATTCTCAGTCAGACTTGACTAACTTTGCATTGATCTCAACCGCAGTCTGATATCTGTCAATGGCTTTCCACGGCACTGTCGCCGAAGAAATTACCGCATATGTGTGTTTCTGTGGCATCCATATTGAGAGAGATGTATCTGTGTTTGAAGTTTAAAACTTGAATTGGATCCAACTTTTAAGGTTCGTATATATGGCTAAAAAACACAACTTTTCACAACGTTTTAGAGGTTATACAGACCTCATTTTTTCTTATAGAGTATGAAAGAATGCAAAAATCTCTCGATTCTGAATTAAATCTAGCAAATCACTATGAATAGCAGCTGATATCGAGTTACTTTGTTTTGGAGCCATTCTTTGGCAGGATTCTCTAAAATATTAAGAATCAATTTCTGAGAAAATCGCATGATTTAAGTATTTTCGTAGCAGACGACCGTCTCCAATTTCACTTATTTTTGGATATTTTATAGAAGAGTGCAGATATGATCAGGGTGACAAGAAGACCCACACTCACATCTCTATTTTATTGCTATTTACATGTGCTTGCTGCAGATAGATTCAGCCATTAACTCATCACTGGAAAGAGGCATACTTCTCCATAGATAAGAACAATGACCGTTCGTCCATGAATGTGCCAAAAGTTAAATATGAACTAGCAGATGGTTTTCTTTCTGTCAAAACTTGTACGGTAATGCACGGTAATTAAGGTGTTTACTGTTGACAACAAAAACGTCACGAATATGACGAGTTTGTCTTTTTTCTTTTTTCTTTTTTATAAAGTCGCTTTGATTTGGTCAATATTTTCTGTTTAATTATCCATGTGTAGTCACCAGTGGTGTACGATCAAACGAAAAAACGAATCGTTGTTTTTATATAATCTTCCATTACATGCAAGTGTTCTTTTTCTTTACAATTAATGACAATTGTGATTTGCAACATTTAATAGATTTTCATGTTCTATGCTTACATAAATGTCGAGAAAATTCGAAGCTAATTCATCTTCGTATTACAATATCATGAAAAATCATTCTGATTGTGTATTAATATCTTGAAAACTCGATTGGTCGATATTTATGACTGGCTATTATATGTAATTTTTTTGGCAACTTTTCAAATACCATAGTTAGAGCAAGCATATTTTCAAAATTTGTACGCACGCTTCAATCGAGTCAATAATTAAATTTTTCTGTTGTTCACGCATTCTAATGCCCATAATACATCGTGTCATCAAAAGAATTAAGATTTGCGTTACAAAAAAAAACAATATTCTAGCCTGGTGCTCCACTGATAATTGAATCATTCAATCATAACGTTAAAAAGCTATTGAATAAAATGTTTGTAGTACAAGGTGTGCCAGAGTTGGAACTGGTCCGGTCCGGTCGGTTCCAAAAGTTTTTCAGACCGATAAATACCGACAAAAAACCGGCCGGTTCCAAACGCTTTTTTAGACCGTAAAAATCGTCTGGCTTGCCAAATCATTATTAATTGGTTAAAGAAAATGGCTTTAAAACCATTCAGTTTCCGTTTTTTGCTTCTACTTTAGGAAGCTTTAAGAGAAAATGTCATGTCATAGTTGTTTATGTTTTTAAGATTTCTCAGAAATGAATATGTGATGTTTCTCTGACGCAAAAAAAGAGTCAATTTACCCGATCACTGATTTCTAAACTACGAATCTTGAATTTTTTCACCTAAATTTTACTAAAAAATCTTATGTTTCTCTCAGAACGACAATTCAAACTCAAATCTAGTCACTAACAAACATCAGCCAGATAAATTGAGAAGTTCATCTCAAGTAACACAGTTTTTTTTGATTGTGCTTGTCACAAGGCGAAATATAGATTTTATTAAAAAATAAAAAAGGTACAGACGAACAGAAGAAGATAAAATTGATAAATTCTGAATAATACTGTTTGATTATTTTGATAAATGCATTTAAACTTGCTTTCGAGATGTTTTATCAAAGAAAAATGGCATATCTAAAAAAAATCCTGGTTTTGACCAAATATTTGCTAATTCCTCAATAATGGAGATGAATAAAAGAATTTCGAAAACAATTTCTTGTCTAAAGACATCAACTATTTTCGGAAGCAAGTAGAAAGACAATATCCTAATTTCACCTGGCTACTAAGAATTCACAGATGTTAGATTAATAAGAAAACAAAAGCAAACTATTTTTTGAGCATATTTTAAAAAAAACAAAAGTTTTCTTTTTCCTATGATTTATTATTCAACGAACCAGGTCTATGATAAATGGAGTCGAATAGACTGTGACAAGCTCTACGAGATAGATATTTTTTTTTGTTCAGTTAACAATGTTTCTCCTAGAGCAAAACGTGAGATATTTGTTTCTATATGCTGGTGATATAAAAATGTTGATTAATTGCTTCCGAATTCGGCGACTGTCTCCTCCATTAACTTGTTGTTTGTGTCTTAAATGTTGATTCTAATTCGTTATTCATATTCTTGTTTGTTATGAGAACTGTTGGTTCATTGTAAATATTATTAGTAGATAGATTGAATGAAATACTAATTTCACAGAGAATGCTCGTTGAAGTAGGCAATTCAATGTTTACATATCGCATTTGGCTTTTTTTTTCACATGTCAGGCGTACAATTGATGTCTTCTGACCGACATCATTTCAAATACTCCATTCCAAATAGAATCAGCATAACAATGAAGCGTTTCTCGTATCTTATAGAACAAACATAAACCATTATCAATTTGCATCTATTTGTTACTTAGGTACATTGCAATTAAGAATCTTAGTGAAAAAAGTGTTGTTTTTTTTTTCAATGAGAACTCGTTCAAAAATTGAACAAAAAATAATGCGTTTGGTAGAGCTTGTGGAATTTCATCTGAGTACATCAACAAGAAAGTTAAGTCCAGTAGTAAAATAAATCATGATAGGCAGTATTCAAATTCAAGCCTAAGATATCTTGTATTCTCAATTGTTGAATAATAAATCCGAAATAAAGAAAAAAACAATAAAATAGTGAACTTATACTGACAATCGATGAAAAATTTGCCAAATGGTTAGGTTAAAATAGTAAATCTGATTCATATTAATGATCCAGATATAGACGTGATAAAAAAAATTTTTAGATACAATTTTAGCAATGAAGCATCATGAGTAACTTTTTCTCATCTGGTTTATCGAAATATTTTCCATCAGATCACAGCGCCCTCACCACCCTCACATCATGCTATGCATATAAATCATGTCACCCATTGTCAACATTTGATCGAAGTAAATATAGATGACAACTTATCTAGCTTATTTTTGAGTAGGTGCTCTTTATATCGATCATTTTTCAAAAACGATAGCAAAAACAAAATACACTTATGAAAGAGGATCTATGAATACTTTTGATTGGTTGGATTTGTAGTTGTTTACAGTAACGGTATGCTATAGCGCCACATAATTTATTACTGTTCATGTGATAGTAGCGACATACTTAAGAGAAAAAAATTGATGAGGTTGTTTTGTATGTAAAATTCTTTGGTGTCGATGTCTTTTTTTCTTTTTTTCTTCTGTATTTTCAACCATCTGTTGTGATTTATATTTTACACATCGTTGAGGTCGTGTATTATGTTCAAAAAAGCAACAACGAAGAACACGTAAAAATCAACGTACGTTACACCATCATTAGTTTTTTTACGATTAATGTTAAACGTTACTTATCTATAATTTGACTTTATATTTGTTTATATATATATATATCAGATATTCAAACAAACATGAGCGAGTTAAATATTGAAACTTCTACAACTGGTATGTTGTATTTCAATCTTTTCATTTTCGTTAAATCATTTTCATTTTTTTATAAATAGAATCTGTTGTAGTTTTATCTGAAGCATTATCAACATCAACACTTCCTTCTACTTCATCTTCAACTACTATTGATGATGAAGCAAGACGACGTAAAATCTTGAGTAAATTATGGGGCAAGGGTAATAAATTATCACACAAAGTACGAGAACTTGATAAAAGTACCATTAATAATAGCAGTGATTCATCAATTCATATTGATAATGAACAAAAACAAATAGGTGAAAATTCTAATAATCTCTTAGCATCTTCTTCTATGAATGATCCAAAATCATCCACAGAAGATAGTTCGAACAGTATTAATAGTAGTAAACCATTGGCTGTTGTGAAACCGATTGTTGTTGTTAAATCTGGCCTGATTATTTCTTCTTCTACTGATCGAACACGAATAAATAGTGAAGCATCATCAACAACTATTACACAAATACATGAAACAACAATAACAGTGAATGAACGACAATCATCAACAACAACAACAATTGATCGAACATCAGATAAAAAGAAAAGAATTCGTAAAAATAAAAATTCAAAAAAGAAGAAAACAACAAGAGATCAATCAATAGATCGAGAGCGATCAGCCGAACAAAATCGATCACATCATCATCATCATCATCATCAACATCAAGTAATTTAAATATCACGAATCTTTTATTTCATATTATTATTTAAATTTCTTTTTTTTTTTTGAGACGGATAGTAATAAAAAAAATAGTTCATCATCAAAAACTAATCGACAAGAACACGATGAAGATATATCAATTAATAATAATAATAATCATAAATCTTCACGTCCTCATTCATCATCAACAATTTCTTCAAATAAAAATAATCGACAATCACCATCCGATGATAGTCATCATACAAATCGACAATCAAATCGATCGACAACATCAAAAGTATATTATTACTGTTGATCAAATTTCTATGAGTCTCTAATGTTATTTCTTTTTTTGTTCTGCATATTTCAGAAAGATGAATCTTCATCTGTACATAAATCAATATTATCACCAGTTGATCATCATCATAATCGTTCGAATTCGAAATATGAAAGTAATACTAATCACAATTATTCTTCTCATCGTCATCGACGTAGATCATCAATAACACTTTCTCCATCACCACCATCAAGATCGTCTTATTCAACATCAAATAAAGATCGATTACAAACAAAAAATTCTTCATCACCTAAGGTTTATTTTATTTTTATGATTTATGTTTTTTTTTTGAGTTTTTTCGTATTTTTAGAAAGATGATCGTCATTCAACTACACAAATTAAATCAAATCGACAACAAAATAATTCAATTTCGCATAGTAAATCAATTAATTCCCATTCACCTTCTGATTCATCTTCAAAACTACGTCGTCATGGTTCAGATATAGTTGTTGATGATGATACTCATCGATATAAAACACGAGTATTTATTTTTTTGAAAAAAAAAGAAAATATTTTTTAAAATTTTTTCTTTTTTATATTAGACAAGTGATGAACATTTAACAAATTCTTCTAAATCACAAAAATCATTAGAAATTTCTCCTGAAGATCATCATAATCATCATCGTTCATCATCAACATCTATTGTTAAACAAGAAAAATCAAAAACAATACAAAATAATGATAAAAATGAAATAAATCAAGAAAAATCATATTCATCACGACATGATCGACGTAGTTCTAGTCGACATCGTTCAAAATCAAAAGAAAATAAAATAAATCGAAAACCCATCGAACCATTAAGTTCTGATGATAGTTCTACTAATCAAAATAAAATAAACAATGAAAAAAGTTCTACAACAGGTATTATCTATTATTTATAAAATAATTAATTACATCGTTATATATATATATATATATTTCTTTTATTTTGTCTAGTCAATGAAAATTCTCATAATGATAAAAAATCAAATCATCGATCATCTATTCCATCTTCAAATAATGATCATAGAAGAAAATCTTCTTCAGATTATCATCGATATGATCGTCATGATTCACCTTCAAATTATGATCGAAGAAATGATTATCATCATCATCATCATCGAATACCATCTTCACATTCATATTATCCATCAACTCATTATGTTCATCATCATCATCATCATCATTATCGATCGACATCATCAAGATATTATGATCGACGTCGTTCAATATCACCTCGTTCTCATCATCATCAACGTCGATCAAGATATTTTTCTTCAACATCATCATCATTATCTCCTTCACCACGTCGTCGAAGTTCAAGTCGAACATCATCTTCATCATCTCATAGTCCATCATCTTATTCTTCTATATCTCGAACATCATCATCACGTTCATCATCAAGAAATAATAATAATCATCATTATTATCATCATCATCATGAAAAAAAATTTCATCGTTCACCAACACTTGAAAAAATATTTCTTAAAGCATCTGAATCAATTGAATCAATATCTACACAAAAAAATCCAAATATATTATCATCATCTTCATCAACATCAACAACAACACATTTAATACCAATTTCAACAACAAATATTTCATCTGATATGCAAATATCATCAACAATAAATTCTCATTCAGAAACAAATACATTTTATTCAGAAAATTTTACTGGATTTTCTATTCCACCACCACCATTTATATCACAACCACAACAACGTTGTTTGAAAGAAATAACAACTGAACCAGTAATATCACGTCGATCCGTGTTAAATGAAGTTCAATCATCTACTTCAACAATTCATGATGAAGTAATACCAATAAAAACTGTTCAATCAAATGATATTTCAAGTAATAGTGAGTTTCTTGTTTTTTTTTCTGTTTTTTAGTAAATAAAATTTATTTTTAGTTCGTTCTGGTTCAAGTAAACCACCACGAATATCTCGATTTTCTGATATAACATCATCAATAATATCTGAACCAGCACTAAATACTAATTTATCTGTTGATACACCATTAAATTATACTCAAATAAATGAAAATATTAATTGTTTATCATCATCACGTCGTCAACAAAAACGTCATAATCGTGAAGTAATGGAATGTGAATGTACAACAAGTGAATATGATCGTTCACGTGGTATAAAAGCATGTGGACATGAATGTCTTAATCGTATGTTATTAATTGAATGTGGTCCAATGTGTCCATGTGAACAATGGTGTACAAATCGTCGTTTTCAACGACGTTCATATGCAAATCATAAATTAGCTTTATTTAAAACTGAAATGAAAGGTTATGGATTACGAACAATTGCATCAATACATAAAGGTCGTTTTCTTGTTGAATATATTGGTGAAGTTATTGATATGGATGAATTATCACGTCGAAATAAAAAATATAAACGTGATGGAAATATACATCAATATGTTATGTCATTAATACATGGAACAGTTATTGATTCAACAATTAAAGGTAATTGGGCTCGATTTATTAATCATTCATGTGAACCAAATTGTGTTGCTGAAAAATGGCTTGTTAATGGTGAATATCGTATGGGAATATTTGCTAAACGTGATTTAAATATTAATGAAGAAATAACAATTGATTATCGTTTTGAAACATTTGGTACAAGTGATTTAATAAATGAAAAATGTTATTGTGGTGCATCAACATGTCGTGGTACAATAAGTGTTAAAAAAAATAATAATAATAATGCTTTAAATCAACGACAAAATCGTCAACAACCATTAGATGATGATGAAATACTTAATTATTTACTTGATGATAATACAAATGAATATATTATACCAAAAACAATTGATGATATTCGTCAATTAATACAAATTATGTCAAGAACAGATAGTGAAAATGTTCGAACTATTGAATTAAATCTTATTAAAAATAGTTCACAAAAACAATTTGAATTACCAAGATTATTTTTAGAATGTAATGGTTTACATGTATTATGTTCATGGATGAAAGATATATTAATTGATGATGATGAACAACAATATACAAATGAATTTAAATATCATTTATTAGATTTTATTCATACTGTTTTACCAATAAAAGATCGTACAATTGTTATTAAAAATGGTTTACTTGATTTAGTTTATAAAAAATTAAAATTACCAATATCAACAATAGATAATCTTGGTAATAATGATCAAGAACAAATTAATAATTTAATGAATTCAATCCTTAATCATCTTGATGATCCAATTATTTCAAAAGTTTTGTAAGATTTTAAAATCTTTATCTTTATCTTTCCCTTTTCTATTCTTTTCGTATATGAATCCCTTTGATCTCAAATGAGTTGTGATTACAAGAATAGTTTGAATACTGAATATTAATTTAGTGTATGATTGATTATTGACTTGTCTTAACGAAGAATATATGTCATTCAATGCAATTGACCGACAATAATAATGAGTGGGTTTATAGGTTATCGCATTTGTTTTTAGATATTTTCCGTTTTACTAATTTTATTTTATCTATATTTGTATGATTGCTTGTACCACATTCTCGGCAAAGACAATTTAATAATCCAAACTAGTGAAACACTTAACAGAGTGAAACATAATGTCTTACAACTCATTTATAGTGTTGCGCCATTATATTGAAAGACATATATTCTTCATTGAAGTAAATTCTCATTCATCATACACACCCTTGTAATAAACATTTACTTGAGACTAAAAGAGTTCGATACTAGAAGAATGAGAGGAGTGGAAGAAAAGACTTTTACCTAAGAGTGTATATTGAATAATAAAAAAAAAAAACCATTGATTTTTCTTTTAGTCATCTTTATTCAACATGGATGTCATTAAAAGAACGTTATATTATTCCAAAACGAAAAGAACCAGAACAACCAGTAAATCATCATCATCGCCATCATCATCATCATCATCATCATCATAGTTCAAAATATTCATATGAAGAAACGAATTCTAGATTTAATTTTAGTACACGTTCATCAGTAACACAACAAAAACCAAATGATCGTCCTTTTACAAAACGTTCATATGTTGTACGAGAAACTCCACGTACAACACAAGAACAACAATTATCAAAAGATGAACGAAGAAAATTATTTGAACAACAATATGAAGATGCAGAAAAAGTAATATATTATTATTAATTTTTTTCTTTTTTGCATTTTAAAGACTTATTGACTCTATTTTTTTTTGTCTTTCAAGGCAAAAGCAGCGGCAGCAGCTGCAGCAGCTAATAATGAAAGTCCAGGTTAGAATTTTTTGTGTTTGATTAACTTTCAAATATGTTCTTCTAATAAATTTAGGAGTACAAAATGAACCACCACAGAAAAAACAACGAACATCAGATAGTACGGAACCAATGGTTCCAAGTACTCCACCTCAACTACAATCTTCAACAGTGGTATAACCAGTTTAAAAACAAAACTATCTTTCTATACTTTATTTATTTGGCTTTTCTTTTTCTATTTTAGCCAAATACCATTCCTTGGATATTTCCATCAAATGCAGTATGTTTATATTATATTTTTTTTTCTTTCTAAAATCTTACTTCTATTTTCTTTTAGATTTATCCACAACCAATAGATCAAACATATTGGATTCATCAACATTTATCACAAATTCCTATTGATTATATTCGTTCATATATGGCTTCTATTGGTATGAAAGAAAATTAATTCAATTCGATTATTTCTGTGTTTTTTTCCTTGTAGGTCAATCAATATCAGTATCAAATACTTCAGTAATTTAAAAGAATTTTAATTATAAAATTTTTAATTTCCTATATTTTTTTTTCGTTAGATTGATAAAGATGAACCACCTCTTCCTCCACCACCGAAACCTGATAATGAAAATGAATTATCACGTATTATTTATTTACCATCGGGTTGGTCTGTTGCGATGTATCCGTCAGATTCTTCTGTTTATTTTTATAATCGAAAAACAATGGCTACTAGTTGGATACCACCGTCATTGACAGTTTCTACTGAACATTCACTTTCACTTCCACCACCACCTCCATTACCTCTTGACTTAAGTCCACTTTCATCAGCTCAAATTCATGATCAACGTCGTCCACAACATGATCAACAACAAGTTTCTTCTTCATCTCGTTCATCTATGAAATTATTAAAACATTCTCATCGTCATAATCGTAATCATCGATATTATCATCATCATCAGCATATGAGCAGTAATAATAAACGAAAACGACCTTCAACCATTGAATCGACAACTGTGGTTAAAGAAGAACTTAATTCACAATTGAAAGAAGAAACATCAATCATTGTTTCAAATGAACAGTTTAAACAAGATGAAATTAACGATAAAAAATCGATAATAGAACATACCGAAGAAATGTCTGTTGATGTTTCAAAAATATCCATTGATGGAAATAATGAAAATAATGTGTCAATAACAGTGAAAGAATCTTCTGAAATAAATGATAATATTGATAAACAAATTTCTTCAAATTCTAATACATTATCGTCTTCATCAAAAATAAATCGTGATCTTCTTCGTAAAAATATTTCTCAACATGTTCATACGACATTAAAACCATATACTAAACGAACATGTAAACAAGGACGTATTGTATCAACTGATGATATTAAATATCTTGTTAAAAAATTTACATTAGCTGTACTTGATAAAGAAATTGAAAAAGCTAAAAATGATGGAATTCCATTATTACCTACATTAACTGAACGTGTACGATTAAAAACTGAAGTTTATGTTAAAAAATATATGAATAAAATGGGTCCGGTATTTCAACGACATGATACAACTGTTCATCCTACTTCTCAACCACCACAACAACCGATGACGACAACAACAACAACAACATCAAATCCAGAATAAAAATTTCCAATCCTAATCTTAATCACTCAAGGAACTTGATCATGTATTTTTTTTTTGTTTTTGTCGCTCTTTGTCCATCTCAGATATCTGCACGTGTTTTTCTGTAATTCAAATGTTTCACTACCTTTCCTTCTGCTTTTTTTTTCTTCTTCAACTCTCGTTGTTTACTTGCGATTTTTTTTTTTGTGCGTATCATGTTTGTATTTCTTGTTGTATAAGAACGAAACAAACAAAGAGAAATAGTTTGACATTAATTGAGATTTATGTCTTAGTTTTTATAATTTCGTAGAACCATTAGATATAGATAGCTATGTGTATATATATATATATATATATATGAAATTTAGTTCAAAAGATGAATCAGTTTTGATTGAAAAATCATTGAGAAAAAATAATGTTCAACCGAAAAATAGTACATATATACTAATCGTATATAGAAAGCTTTGTATGAACATTCTGTATTAATATATATTCTTGTACTTCATCGGAATTTGATAATATAGTGTCACAATAAAAATATATATAAAGAAAACTTGTTTCATAAACACTATTGACATTATGATGGTTAAACAACTTTATATATGAATATACATGTCAGATAATAAAATGACAAGCAATGAATAAAAATATCTGATATTTATGTTATTTCAACATGTTTTGTGAAGAAATGCATATGATGAATAGGGATGAACGATTTTGATAGTCAAACAACTAGAGTTGGCTAATTCTAGTACGGTTCTACAAAAAAAATATAAGCCTATTTCGAATCCAAGTTACAAGGATATTTAAATCAAGAGCATTTTTATGAGTGACAACAAAATTATTTCTTTATATTGGTACAAAGGGTTAAATTAGTCGTTCAGAAATTTATTCAAATAATATTTTAAAAAACCACTATTTCTTCTCAAAAGACCATAGATTTCAAACGAGAAGTATTTATGTATTAATTTACAATTGCTTTTTTTATTTGTACTTGCAAAAGTTTAAAATAGTAGACATGATGAAAACTTACGTCATTGTTTTCGTGTTCTTCAACAAGATTATTTTGATCGTATGCCACAAGTTTTTTGTGATTTTTGTTCATTCCTATTCAATATGATTCCAATTTTGAAAAATGTCGACTTTGCCTATGTCTAATGGCGATGAATAAGGAAATTGAATAGCCATTATGCATTTTACTTCACCATCAAAAACTTAGTCATTTCAGTCACTGCAAAAAAGAATTGCTTCGTAAATTGATGACTAGTATCGTACTCGAAAGTAAATGATGATCAAATATTTGTTCTTGAGACATCTTTATTATTTCCCTATTGACTATTCGAATTTCTAGTGGTGGTCATATGTCATTATGTACAAAAAAACTTTTTAGAGAAATGAATTTCGATACTTTCATTTCACATTTGCATTTAGTGTTGTAGACATCTTTTTAACATTAAATGTTAGATAACATACTTTTACTATGCCAGTAACAATAATGTGTCGTAATATGAACTTAACATCACGTCGATTCTCTTTGTATACAAGGTACTTACAATAGAGTAATGCAGAGGATAATAGACCAGTTTTCAAAATGAAAAATAAACCAACGATAGTCTTTCTTCATTTTCGTTCTTAAAGATCCTTAGTTCCTAGTAATGCAATTTATGTACAACGGTGTAATGAATCTTCGCTTGATGAAAACAACGTGTTATAAACAAAGAACTATTCTTAGGCTTCTCGAAGACTATCAACATTAAAGCAAATACTGAATCTATTTAATTACTTTTTTTTCGTACGCTATGTCGAAATAGTAATTAAGATCAAATTCAGAAGTGACTTACAGATCATTCATGGACGAGAATTAGCTCCAGTATTTATTCGTGTTAAAGTGCCCATTCGATAATTACTATGTAAATATCGTCTGAATGACGTTCTTTGTGTAACTGCTCACTGATAATTGTAAAAAAAAAAACATTTTATAATAAGAAAAACACTATGACAAAATTTCTACTTCATAAAAATGAAAAAAAATCCTCGTGATCATCTATTAGATCGATTTTCAATATTGAAACTGAAAATATACCAGAGTATGAGGACCGTTAGTTTCCCAAAAACCAACACTCGTCTTTCTTTGCTTTATCCAGTAAATTCATAGATTAAACAGAATTGGAACATGCTGTTTCTTGTCTATCTACATCTCAATAGATATCATTAACTAAAGAGCAATAGTAACTTTATGATTATATAAATCAGTGAATGAATAATATATCGTTCATCGTTATATTCATTTGCGCGGCTAATTTATTCGGAAATATTCTATCTTCTTGTCTTCACTCGTCTTGAAATCATAAGATGAAATTCAGATATCTCTTTTGAATATATTACTTCAACTACAATAGACAATCTAAGAACTGAAAATATTGATCGTTTCTTTAAAAAAACAATACTTAAAATAGATGGTTCACGAAGATTGACAACAGTCGACGGTGCAATTATTATCACCAATCAAGACTAAATAACTCGAAGTACTAACATATATTTTCTATATCATGTTCATTTTGTTTTAAATAGTATTAATATTTTTATCGTCATGATTGTATTATTTGTTAATACTTTTCTCTGTTATTCTTATTCATTATTTACTGATAAATCTGTTATATATCTTAAATATACTTAAGAAACAAAACCAATCTCATTAATTTCAATTAATATAGATTTTAATATTTACATCATATATAATTAGCTCTTCTATAGATAATGACTATAGGAATCTCTAACCTATTATAATCTGATGTTAAACCATAAACAAAAAAAAAATGAAACGCTTAGTTCAATTAGATACACAGAAATAAAAATGCTTACGCCAATGTTTTTACTAATCTTCATTTTCTATGCCAATTATATATTCACACTTTTTTAATTTCATAGTTAAGTATCACATTGAAGAATCGTAACATTGAATGCCATGTTTAAAAATATGTCAAACCAAGATGACAAACAATCTATTACATTATGTGTTAATTAGTTTTTTGATTTGTCATAGTATATCTTAACATGAGAATTAGAATTATTCAGAAAAGAAATCTAAGATGATTTTTATTCATATGTGAAACTACAAATGTAATAACCCTTATGATTACATCGTATCTATCTATTTTATCGTGAATATTTTATTGAGATAATTTTTATATTCAAAATCTAATTTTTGATTCAAAATTAAAAAAGCTAAAATACATTCTATTTCAGTTTTTAAAATAACAATACAATGAATCTTTATCATTTATGAAATCAATCATGAATATTTTGTGAAATTTCATTATATCTAGATATACATTTCCCTTGTCGTTTTTGTTGTCATCGATAAATCAATTTCATGTTTTTAATGGTATATATTGATATATACACGCTTTCTACACTGATAATTCTCCCTTCTTCTTCGTACAATAACATGTTGTATGATTTTTCTTCTCAGAACGACACCACATCATGCAGTATTCTTCTATAAAGTATAGAAACGAAAAAACAAAGATATTCATATGTTTCAGTTTATCGTATGTTTGTTTGAATCGATTATTTATGATAAGAAATCAGCGAAACGAAATGCTGGCACAGTTCCAGGTATAAATGTGTTTTTTTTTTGTTTTAATTTATTTTTACTCACTTTTATACAATTTAGTCTCGTACTGCAATATTCAATGCAGACGAATCGATCAAAATTCTTGAACAATTTCAATGGAATTGTTTGGTAATTTTGAATTAATATTAATTGTTTTTTTGGTTTTTTCATATCGTAGAAAAATGATAGGAAGCAATCAACTATGTACTTGAAAATGTTAATGCTGTTAAACAGAAATCATCGAGTTTAGTTTATAATAGTATTCCATTATCTCTTACTATTGATCAATCACTCAGTCGGTGGACATGTAGTTGTTCATTTTTTTTTTCTCATTGTGCATTTTTATCTAGTTCCAAACGAATGTCTAAATGAATTAGATGGTGTTCGTCATTTTGAACAAGCATTTCAGGATCGTCATCCAGATGTTCATCGTTGGCCAATATGGTTTAAATCATCACTTGAAAATGCTATTAATCAATCTGTGAATATTCTATCTTTTTTGTTTATTTTATATTTATGAACTGTTTATTTAGCATAGTCCATTCGCTGTTTTTCTCAATCATGATAAATCTGCTTATGCTATAATATTTTCTCGTCAAATTCTTTGTTCATCATCTATTTTAAATGTTTTTCAAAAGTATAAATGCATTCTATGGCCATGGGATGTGACTTATCCATTAAATAAACAACGGTAAATACTTAAAAATAGATATATGATGATTATATACTTATTAATTTTTCTTTTTTCATTTGTAAGACTTATTCAAAGAAGTGGACGTGCTCGACAGATTCTTGTCGAATGTCTTTCATATTATACTGATGTTGATAATTATCCTTTATTACTTTTGCTTAGTCGTCAAAACGATAAAATTGTACTACTTGATATTATCAATGGACATTGGGATTTAGATCAAACACGAGCTTGTCTCGAACGAACACTTAATCCAGTTCTTGAACAATCTATTATACCTATTAATGAGGTAAATATTTTTTTCTTTCTTGTAAACAAGATTTTAATAAAGTTTTTTTTTTTCAATAATAGACATCATCTCTTTCACCAGGTTGGGTTGGCGGTCGTACAGCAGGAAATATTCGTCGTCATCCTTCTTTCATCACAAGTAATTATATATTCTATAGTTTATTATATCTAATATTTTATATTATTTTTTTTTTCATTTCTTAAAGCATTTCGTTTAAGTCGACCTCTTCGAGCAGTTCAACGACCTTATTATACTTCATTTTATCAAAAACACCAAGATATACCAGAAAAGATTATTACCATGGAAGAAGTTAAACAATGGTTAAATAAAAAAAATATAAATATTACTAATCACAATTCTCTTTCAATAAAACATCAAGAGTAATAAATTATAGTTTTGTTGAATTGAAAATTTTATTGTCTTTACTATATATATATAGTTATCAAATGAAATCTTCATCATCAAAACGAATCATTTCACCTAGTCCATCATTATCCATTGTGACAAAAGATCAAAATCCGATTGTGTATATGTCACCACGTCGAGCTGGATGTAAATATTTTTATACTTTATTGTATAAGTCAAAAATATTGATTCCTTACTCTCTTTTTTTCTAGGGGCACCATTGATCAATCGTTAAAGTTTCTACTTTATCGAATGTATATTGTTGTGTTCCAGTTTTGTTCTTTTCTATACATTTTGTAGTAAACATTTTGTTTTTTTTTTTGATATCTGAATAGAAAGAAGATATGTTTTAATTGTTCTGTTTTCTTCTAAATAATTGACTTTGTTTTAAGTTGAACATGTAAATATTCAGTATCTCATCATTGCAGTACAGAGAATAGTCTTAAATGGTGTTATAGAATTTTCTAAGAAAAGGTAAGTAAATGTTCATTCGATAGTTCATAATTATGTCTGCTACAAAACCACAAATACGAACACATCTTACTCGTCGATAATGAACTGTTCTGATTGAGTTCTATAATAAAAATCCTTACCCATCATCAACTGAACGTTATCAATTTGTTCATTGACTGGTCGAACATCTAAATAAATTCAAAATTGGCTTTCTAATCGACGAGTAAGTGGATTTACTCATAAGTTTATGTTATGCATTTTGTTGTTTTCAATAGCGTACTGTTCCAAAACTTGATGCCATTTAACCAACTATTGTTTCACAGTCTACACTTCCATCATCATCATCAACAGTAAATATTGAAATTATATATATTTTTCAATTCTTATCAAGATCGTATTTCTAAACAATGGAAACAAATAAGTACTGCAGTCAATCACCATCGATGCCATTCATTTGTCCATATTGAAGCTTGATTTAATTATGCCCGAATTTTGATCAACTTTTTTACCCAATGTTCAATTCATGAACGATATACTATCCTCTATCAAATGACTTTTACTCATAAACATAGTTATTAGTTTTTTGTTTCTATTAATTTGATTTCAAACTAAATTTCGTCAATAAAATTGTCGTATTCAATAAATCTCAATTAGCATTTCAAATACACTATTATAAAGAACAACTAACACATACGAAATTTGACGGAAATAAAACTACATTAATATTTGCTCTGATCATTCAATTTCAAGAAGCAAGCATCTAATGAAATATAGCAATGTTCATAAGTGTTTCTTTATGCTATCTTTCTCTTATATCAAAAGATCAATGCACATTTATTGAATAAATGTTTGACATGATTGAAATGAATTTTAAAAAAAAAGGAAATATTCTCTTGTCATTGTATATATGAGGACATAAACTAGAAGTTTATTCATCAAAAAAACTAAGAAAATTCTGTATCCAGTAAAAATACATATTTTCTTTTTTTCGACACGCGCTTGGATATGATTCATGTCTACTGGACATACAGAAAACACATGGATGTTTTTCTTTCTTTTCCACTCTTATTCGAATGTACAAGTCGAGGTTGGATTGTACATAACAGTCACTATTTCATAATCCAAAACAATAGATATTCGGTAACGATGATGATGATGTCAGCTCCGTCTTCATCGTTTCATGATGTGAGTGATTTTCTTAGAATATGTATGTGAATATATAGTTTTTAATTTCTATTCACTTTAGTATTTAGCTATAGATTATTCCTTGCCCAAAACTGAATCATTATCACCAATACAAACAAATGAAGACTATTCTGATGAATCATTGAATAATACTAATAAGATTAGTAAGAGAAATTCAACAGTAAAACGACCGATGAATGCATTTTTATTATGGGCTCGAGGTGAACGAAAACGAGTATCTAGTGATGGTTATGGTGTTAGTCAAACATCATTGAGTAAACTTTTAGGTGAAACATGGCGGTAAGAAAAAGCAATCATTAGATCAATTGCCACATACGAAGAGAGAATCTACTCTTTTAGGAGAATGCCCGTCGAAGAGAAACAGCCATTCTTAGATATGGCTGAAACATTAAAAAGACAACATCACATTGATCATCCCGGCTATAGGTTCAAACCAAAACAACGCTCGTCAACCGCGAATAGAACAATAGCAAAGAAGCATTTTCTACCTGACCGTACGTACCAATTAGCCTGAAGTCATATGTATATATATCTATATCGATTAGCATATCTTTTCATTATTACTACCTTTAGCTCAAGAACAAATGTCAAAGATGAACTCTTCATCATATTATTCAACTTCATCTTTTCGTTTTCTTCAAGGACTACAACAACAACAACAACCATTATCATCTACCTCGGATGCTGCTCCTCATAATGTAGCGCCAACAGTTCAAGCCATATGTCAAGTTATTATTTCATCATCATCATCGTTATCATCTGATAATAACAATGATTGGCTTTCAAAACTTATTGGTCAACCTCAAACTGTTATTGTTGCACCTCCTTCTCCTCTTCTTCCACAGATACAAACATCTCCAATTTTATCACGTCGACCTGTACGTATACAAATTATAAATAAACATGATGACATTGTTGTACCTCCACCACCACTATTACCTATGACACCTTCACCATTATCATCATCATCATCATCATCGATTACTCTCGATGAATCAACATCAACATTAATCGATTATCTTAGTAATACTTCTAATATGTTCAATATACCTAACAATCAACCAGAATTAGTTCCGGTTCTAGATGATACAATTGGTATGTTAGACTTTTTTATTGTACATAAATTCAAATTTAACTAATATTTTTGATTTCTAGGATATGAAACATTACAAGATTTAGCTAATAATCATTTAATGGACCTCGATCAACCTTACAATAATAGTGGTTGGATCGATACACCTTTATCAAATTTTACTACTAATGCTACAGATATAAATACAACACCACCATATTTATCTTATGATTTTTTAAGCCTTTAACACTTGTCAGATTTATTTTTTTTTGCTTCATTCTATAACGATCAAATTCTACATAGAGATATCAGATATATCTACTATAGTATTTTTCTTTACTTCTATTTTTTTTTGTGGTTTCTTGTCTTATTCTTGTGTTAATACGAAAGTGAGCTTATGCGCGTGCCATTTAACTTCTTTTTTTTTCTTTCTTTCAACTTCCTTGTGTTCTTATTCATTTTTTTTGTCTTATTTTCTTACTGTGTTTTGGTTCATGTATATCAGTGTTTGTTGTACAACAAAAGATATGGACGAATGACAATAGAAAACACTCGCACGTGCTCTTATAAATTGACTTTTTTTTTTTATTATTAATAAAGATATGGATGATTGTATGAAAAAAAAAACTAGGCTTTTTCTTTATTAAAATATTATCTTTCACATACTAGAAGTTCAAATAAAATTTATAATCATATTCAAATGTATGTATCTGTCACTTTAATTATAAATTGAAGGATATTCCTATTACAAGGGTACTATCGGTCACATTATAGGCGGTGGTCGCCTCAAGAAAAATGTTTCACTCGGTGTTATTAGAATATCACATGGTGAAATACCTACTAGAAGAATATATCAACTGAAATAGATAGAGAAGACATTTTCGATCTTCGACAGATATCGCTAGCTTTCTATTAATATTTCTACGTAATTCAACAAGTAAAACATGCAAGATGAGTCAGTTCTGATTGTACTGAGTTCGTCGAGTAGAATTCAACACGCTTAGTTATATATACTGTCTGTATAATGCTTCTTTTTCGATATTTCATTGTTGCTCCTACTTTAATCATTCATAGATCGATAATGGCATCTAGTTTATCTCAATCGATTGGTATTATTGATTTAATTTTATCTGAACATAAACATATGCGTGATGAATACGAATATTTTCAATCAGTGGAAGATATAACTAAATTTGATTCTCGTATTCGTCAATGGATTGCATACATATCATTACATGGACATAAAGAAGAAATTGCATTTTATCCAAAAGTTGAAAGTTATTTAAATGATCAAAAAAAAAGTGGACATCATTTAATAGAACATGGTATAAAAGAACATCGTGAACTTGAAACTGAATTAAAAAAATTAACTGAACAATCTCCTATGAAATGGAAACAAATATGTAAAGCAATTGATAAATTAAGTATGAAACAAGCAAGAATATGTTACTTTTTTAAAAATATTCTCTTCTTTTATTTTAAGTACATCATTTAAATGAAGAAGAAACTGATATTCTTAATCCACTTCGTTCAAAACTTGATGGAAAACTTCAAATTGAACTTGCTCAACAATTTATTGATGCAGGTCAATTAGCATCTGATAAACCTCATCCGGAATTATCAAAAAAACCGGAAGAAACTCCACAAGAAAATATTAAAGTTGCACTTGCAGAAAAACGTCAAGATCTTTGAAAATTATTTTTTTTCTATAATTTATGTATTTTTTTTCTTTACATAATAGATTTATAAAAAAAAAACAAACAAAAAAGTACATAATCTTTTTAATAAAGTCATTGAGTAGAAGGATAATGATTGTTCATATAATTGAAATTAGTAGTTGTATGTGGAACAAATGAAGTCGATGGATATGTCATATATGTCGAATCATATGAGATCAAACCATAATTTGTATTATAACGAGTTGTATTATCATAATCTGTACTTACCTGATGAGGAAATGGTTGATAATATGAATTGTATATATCTAAATTATAAAAACAAAATAAATAATGAGAATTTCGTTTTTCGAAACTTACTTGAATAAGGAAAATGTTCATTTGATTGCATTGTTGTACTTGAATAAATACCATTTGTCATGGTATTATAATCATGATCACCTTCAATATTATTTGTTGATATTGGTTCTGAATAATATGTTAATGGAGGAAAATTTTCTTTTGAACTACAACCACTTTCATCATTATCATCATCATGATTATATTTTGTTGAATAGATTTGTTGAGATTGAAATGTTGGAATAACTAATGATACACTTGTTGTTGATTCATCAATAGATGATGAACATGGTGATGAAGTCATGGGTGGATGATGATCACTTTGTACACTTATATCATTAGCTGATGAAGATGATGGTGATGATGATGATTTACTTGTATTTGGTGTTGAATATGGATGATAACGAGCATCTAAAATTAAAACACCAAAAAGAAATTTCAAAATTTCATTATTATTTTATCTTACTTTTAATTTTACGTTTTGGTTGATATCGATATTCAGGATAATCACGTTTATGTTGTTCACGAATACGTTCAGCTTCTTCAATAAACGGTCGACGTTGTTCTTGTGGTAATGATCTAGATTGAATTGAAAATAATTAAAGAAAACTTTCATTCATATTAAAAAACTTACTTCCATAATTTTCCTAATGTTTTACTTAATTGTGCATTATTAACAACAGATAAATTAGTTGTTAAATTTTTTCTTGCAGCTTGTGCCCAAACCATAAATGCATTCATCGGTCGTTTAACATGAATAGGTTTAATAGGTTTAGGTTGTTTTTGTTCTAATTCAGCCCAATTTAATTGACCCAAAGCTGATGTAACAATATTTGATAGAACAATATTCTTTAATAAAATAATTTTTTGTATTTAAAGTTTTTCATAAGTAATCAATTCAAACAACATAACATTTGTTTTCAACTTACCGAACCAGTATTCGAAGGACTTCCTGATGATGACATTTTCGATCAAATGAATTCGTTTCCTTGTTTTGACTACTTTTAAATTTGAATGTTCATTTACGAATGAATGAGATTACTTATTTGACGATGACGTTTAATAAATGAAGCCATTTCTCTCTATCTTTCTCTCTCTCTCTCATCTTTTTTTCTTTCGATTGGGTTATGAATAAGGAAAGAAACCAATAGAAATGAAATGCGAAAATTTGCTTCGCTTGTTGTAATCAAATCACACTTATCAATTATTGTTATAGATTTATTAAACCAATTAATGTAGTTTGACAATTGTTTTCGAATAATAATTCAACAATAGAATAAAAATGTGATCTCACAAATTTCATTAAATTCAATGTGTAGATCACAGTTTTACTCTATTAAATAGAATTTTAATCTTAAAATTGAAAAAAAAAAAAAAAAGAATTTTATTTTTCTCTATTGTGCAAGATAAAAGAAAAGAAATATATTTATTTTTTTAGCACACCATTGTAAATTTTTAAATATTTCTGATCAATCATTGATAAATGAACAAAGAAAATGCCGACATTCATCAGTCAGAATCCTGTGGTGATTGAAAAAAACGATCAAGTGCTAAATAGTCAATCGTTGAAATCTTGATATCCGTTTTCGAAAAAAAAAAAGTTTTAGTTTTTCGTTTTCACAAGAAAGATGACACCCAATCTAACCGTAACAAGAAAAACATCTTTTTTTTTATATATATGTGCATGTATTTCACGTAAAAAAATAACAATATCATCATCACCACCGACCGTGTTTTACGGTCAATATTCATATGTGTATTAATGTGACATTCGAGCTGACATATAACATGCTGTTTTACATAGATAAATATTACGCTTATCAATAAAAAATAATATAAGACTAATAGCCACTTCTTCTTCTCGTTGTTTTATGTTCTGATCTCTTAAATAGTATTTAAACAATTGAATGGATTGATATTTTTCAAAACGAAAAAGAACTCCTGGGGTAGAAGTTTTTTTTTTTTTTTTTTAAACTTTGAAAAGAATAGAATGGTCATTAAAGAGCAATTTGAAAATAAGAGTAGTGAGATGATATCAATAAAGATAAAAACATTAGATAGGACAATAAAAAAAGAAGAAGAAGGAAGTAAGAATAGAAATCAAGAACATTTCTACTGTCAAAATGAGTTTTTGTTAGTGATTGAATGAATACAATAAATATGGCACTAATTAGTTTGAATAGGTTTATCTTTATATCTTTGGATGATGATATATGGTAATTTGTAGTAAGAAATAGTAATGATAGAAAGATTGAAAGAAAGTTTTATTTAAAATCTTACCGTTTCTTAATCTGTTTCATTACATGATCTACTATTGATTGTTGTTTTATTTTTCGAAATATGTTCGAATATGTATGAGTTTAAATAGGATTTACTCTTTGTCTTAGATTGAGGTCTGTCTATGTATATTTTATTCTCTGAACGATAACTATAGAATGAATGAACAAAGAAAATAGGAACTGATAAGAAGTATTGATGAAGATGTAGAGAATACGAGTGGACAATGATCGATGAGTAAATGTATATTCTATATATCTTTTAGTTAGGTATAGTATAAACTAGGCTTCTTTTCTTTGCCATTTTTTTTGTGTTATGTTTATTTCATAGACAGATAAGATATGTCTGTTTTTTTCAGAATATTTGTAACTGACAGAGAACGAACTGTATACTGATCAATCATCACATGAAAAATGTGTTCGTGTTTGTATGCTAGTATTTTGCACTTGACGAGGTTGCTAGTGAGAGTCTAAAAGAACATTTTTAATCGAATTATTTTTATTAATCTTATAGTGAAATCAAAAGAATGATAGTATTTAGTTCCAGACCATAAAAGTAATCTTTTCCGAATAGAACAATTTTGTTAATTCTTTTTTTTTTAATGAAAGTCGAAAAAGGTATTGTCTTTCTTCTCTTTTTTTTTGGTATTCTGTCAAATATATGTTTTTTTTTTTGACATGTAAGATACAGATGGCGGTGGTTTGTTATAGATATTTTGAATTTGACATATCTTAGAATTGAAATGAATATGTTTGAAAGAATGAAAATTTTTTTTTTTCGATAGATTTCAACAAATTAAATATTATATTTTTTTTTAAATATGAGCAAAAAATTATGGTAAGCTTTTGGCATCTTGCCAATGAGAATATAGTTATGAGTCTGTCTATTTGAACTTGACCTTATAAATCTTGGTGGGTTATTAAGGGTGAAATAATGTTAGCAACAACAGTAACAA